AAAATATGCATATGGAAATAATAATAATAATAATAATAATAATAATAATAATAATAATAATAATACCAAGTTATTATTATTATTATTATTATGATTATTATTTTTATTATTATTTTTATTATTATCCTTTTGAATATTATTATTATTATTATTATTATTATTATTATTATTATTATTATTATTATTATCCTGTTACCGGTAAATATTAGTCGTTTAATTAAATTAAACTTACAGAAATTATAATAGGCCTAATAATAATAATAATAATAATAATAGCAAGTTATTATTATTATTATTATTATTATCCTGTTGAATATTAGCCGTATTAATTTTCATAGTACTGTATCTATAATTTATCATTGCAATTTACTAGTGAATCTGAGATTTCATTATTCGCAATAGATAAAATACTAATAATAATCCATCAAGAAAATGTGACTTTTACAAGAAAGCTGTTTTTAAAGACATATTGTATTATATTATAGCTCTTATTATTATGTTCTGTTTCAAAAATTACAGCCATGTGATGTCTAATTTGCTCATAAATCCTAATACTTTAGACCATTAAGGAAAAGGGGCCCTTAGCAACGAAAATAGCGTAATCCATACATATTTCACATTATATCTCATTATTATGCATTATGTATTAATATTTTTGACGTTTTCAGACTCTACATATAAATAGTTAATACAACTGTGTATATTTTGAGAAAAGAAATGTATTAGTTAGTAGTATTAGTGGAATAAAAGCACCGTTGCTAAGGGAAAACCTCCATAGCAACCGAAAAATTGTTTTCTTGTGGTTTTTGAGGGTTTTTTTTCGTTAATGTGCAATAATTGAACGTGGGAACAATTAAATTCATTTTCACACCACTAATGGTGACTTAATTAACATAAAAGCAAGTACTTCCACGGTGTTTACTACGGAAGTCAAGAAATAAATGATGCTTTGAAGCCTACGCCATACGACGCGCGCAATGGATCGTTTTTAACAACGACCCGTTCAGATTGCTACCGACAATCAGCAGAAGGCGTTGCGTCATCTATCGCTCACAGGGAGCGGAGTTAGATTTGTATAATTACAAAAATATACTAAGAGTAAGACTAATGATAATAATATTAATGATTATAATATTAATAATAATAATAATAATAATAATAATAATAATACGGTAATAGCAATAACAACAATAATATACAAATATTACAATAATAATAAAATAATAATAATTATTATTATTATATTAATAATAAAAAGAGTGGTAATAGATGTAATTTTATGTAATAAAAAGGTATCTGTGCTTAACAAATATTCGGCCTATACAATAACAATATAATACATATGATTTCGAGTGACGCCCGACCACGCCCACTTAGGCTCTCGTCGGAGACATCGCCCAATTCATATCGCCATCCCTATGGTGCCCTGTGGACATCGGATCCCCGTCGAGAAAATCCTGGAGCATCCACTGTCACATGATACAATGCTCATTAAATCATGTAATAATATAAGATTAATTCGGCGCTCAAGGGGGGAAAGGGTGGTGCTAGTCTGTTTTTTTTTCTCAATCCAGGAGTGGGCTTATAAATGCATACCAGGTAGAATTTAGTATCATGTAGGTTGGCACTGGATTAGCGACCAACGGCTACGAATACTAACACCCAGGCAGGAGAGGGTATGATGTTGTACATTGTGCTTACTGTATCTGCTATTCATTACAAAATGCTAATCATCTTAAATGTTAATCATCTTTATTATGCTTATTACACTATCGTCATTGCCATCATTACATTATCATCATCACCATTGCATTTGTCATCATTATCATCTCATCTTCATCAACATTAATTCATTACTGAATTATACACACATATGTGGCAAAGACAAGCTAAACCAGTCACTCGTCTAAAAAAATGGATTTTTAGTTATTAATACAATGTTAAGCAGTAAAATCGAAATTATAAAATGGTAAAAGAATTATTTAAATCCGATATTTCGTTATGGAAGGAATTAGAAGTTTAAATATACAGCTGTTTAAAGAACAGTACTTGAGAGATCAGCCTTTATGTTTACGATTTTGGACATTTCTCAGTCAGACATCACCAAATTGTTAAAAAAAAAAAATGGTTTTAACGTTGAAAATGGGGAAAATAACAACATAGCGTGATGTATAGATATACAGTATAAAGTGTAGATTTCAAAAGTGTTGACATTCCAACATATTTTGGAAACTATCACTGAAATATGACTTGTGAGCAGTGACTGGTTTGGTTTGTGTCTGGTCCATACTTCATATTAATATACAGTACTGTCTGTGATGACTTACATAATTGAAAAATGTATATTATGTGATTAGCTTTCAACAAAAAATTAGAATGAGCAAGAAACAAACAAATTACTGACAAATAGATTAAAAAAAACATGTTTCATTCAATATCATATGATTTATTAAAGTGAACGCACTTCAGTTAATTTATCTAACAATAATAAAAGGAAATCGGCCTATGTGTAATGTATACATTCTATTACTTAATTGAAATTCTTGAATAAATTCAAATTATTGAAAAGTTTGAGAAATTATGAATAACATTGAATCTTGGATGAACTTGTAATCAAACACAACACCTCATTTTCAAATTATCTATAGAAGTACATTGCATCTTTATATATAATAATATGCCAGTTTGTAGATTAAGTCTATGAATTATTAGGTGATAATTTTCGTTTGTGTAAATATTCCATAAGAAAGATGCACAGAACAGGATGTTGCTATCCGTTGCTACAGGCAGAAAATGTACGGCAATTCCACAAAGTCAGATGATATCAGCAGTACAATTATTTTGCCTCAATATATGCATTCCAAAATCATGTGGAGTATTATTCATGAGAGCTTCCTGGTATACTTTGTTGATTTTGATCCCCAGTTGAGAAGACCCGCATAATAAAATATACTGCTAGATGACACCAAGTTTAATCGATTATATTTTGTCAATAAACAAACACTCTTTCTATTATTCATGCTACAGTCTCAGGATTGTATCACCTTATGAAGCCGGGGTGGCTGCAGCGAGGGCAGCCTTCTTACGTTGAGATCGAGAACGGAAGAACCATACTACTGCAAAGGTTGCTGCATAAGTAGCCAAAACACACTGTACATAAAAAATAGACAAAAGTATAATATTTTACACTAATTTTAATGACAGGTTTTATAAAAGATTCTTTTATTGTAACTTAAAGAAAAGTTCCTACAATTATATTCCTGATGCTTATATTAATAATTTTACGAAGGTTAGAATGAAAATATATAAATATACACAAGATGAGTAAACTGCACAAAAATATAGCACAAGGTTATGCAAAAGAATACAGTAGTTATCTGTCAAATTTAGCATTGTAATACCGAGTTGTGAGTGAATGATTATAGATTGGAAAAATATAAATAAATAGTAATATTTTCACTACTTATTTTCCCTTGATACAAATTAGGAAGTGGTTTAGTGCAGAGGGAATGTTTTTTGTTTCCCAGGCTTGAGGTCACAGTTTCAATCCCTGTCTGTGCACTTCACTTGTGTCCTTGAGCAAGGCACTTTCTTATCTGCTTTGCTTAACTCCACCTAGTAGTATAAATGGGTACCTTGTAGGGTTGCCTGCTACTGCACCAATATAAAGCAGCAAAACTTAAGCACGTGGACACAATGACCAGGGAAACCAAACTGCTTCGTAGCTGAAAGGAAATTTGCTATATATATACTGTACCACGTAACAAAATAATAAATACGCAACTTACATTTCTTTTGCCGAATACAGTATCAGCATTCAAAAATCTTTTTAAACCGGTATAGTGAGCAAATTGTGATTCATCTACAGGTCCGCCGGCCATCTTGAAAATTAACCTGCAAAGAGAAGAAGCTGAATTGGGATCTTGGTTATTTTGAGAGCCAGGCCATGAAAATTATATTGTTAATAAAATTACCCTGGCTGCACCTATCATGTGTGGTCTGCACCCTAATGCTTTTTTATTAGTTTCAAAAAAGAATTTACTCTGGTAAAATTGTCCAATGCCCCAAATACACTATACTGATAGCCTAACAATGGTTGCCCGGGTAAGCAAATCAAAAAAGTGTTATGTTTTTCTATAAATTTATCCAGGAACATGCGCACCAACTGCCTGTTGTGCAGTCTATCAAAACGTGGAAGATGGCCACACAGTGACACTATAAAGCTTGTGCTCAGCAAGTACACAGTGCTGTACCACTGGGCCCTAGCTAGGTAAACCTAATCCTCTCTTCCACTACTACTACTAGGCCTACTAGGCTACCCTACCACTCTGCCCCGCTACCACTGACCTGGATCGTAGGGCGCTAGGCAAGCTGGGCTAGGCCTAGCCTTGACAATGACGATAGATAGAGCTAGCTTATCAAGTCGATGTTTTACTATTATTAGATATCTTCCTTTATGTTATTTACTTATAGCGCATCTAAGGTTTCTAAGTCACACATTTAAAAGAAAATATTTAACAGGAAGTATGAAATTATAACGATAGTTTACCTAAAATTTTAGAGTGTATTTGGTTGAAGATTCACCGGTGTTTCACGATGATTGGTGCCGACTAAATAATAGCATCAGTGCGTCAGAAACGATACTACAATGTGCATGCGCTTTGTATTCACAATACTATTATTATTGGATACTTAAATACATACATTTTAAAACAATACTAAAACCGGTAATAAATATAATTCAAACAATACTTTATTATTAAAAGATTGATCTCTTTCTGTATTTTATTGTAATATGAGGAAAATACTCTACCTAGGACATATTAAATAGAAACCAATATGTGTTGTATCACCATTACTAGACTTTAATACTGTCGTTTATTTAAAGATGATTCATCCAGTCGTTTATGAACTACACCGACACTATCCCGCATACGTGAGTGAATCAGAATATGATTTTTAATCAGGCAAATAAGCTTTTATAGACAGTCTGAATTCCAGCAAAAGAATTAGGCAGCCTAATTTCCAAAATTGGAAATTTGTCATCTTGTTAAGAAACATCGTATCAGATGCGCATAACAAATAACATTCAAAAGAGTTGGATATACTGTAATACGAAGATATATATATCACGTCGGAGGCATTTTATTGCACAATGACTTTTATAGGACTTTATTCGTTGAAAAGCTACAGGGTAGCCTACGATGTTCCATCATGTCCTTATTTAAACACTGTATATGTACCTTTGATGATTTATATTATATTTATTCAACAGTGTTAACGGCTAACTCCCTTCA